CGCGAATCGCGCGTCAAATTCGCACCTGACGCGTCTAGTTTGACGCTTGACCACTTTGTGTTATTTCGCGTGTCAAGAGCGAAACTAGCGCGCGTAAAAACAAAAGTTTGAAGCGAAATTTACGCGCGTCAGAATCGAAATCCGTTGGCGGCCATTGTTTTTATGCCGACCGAGCATTCATCAAGAGAGTTACCGCTCTGTATTTACTCTGGAGAGCAGAACAGCGGCGTGGGGATCATCGTCGCCGTATATTTGTGTCCACCGGACCCTTCAGAGCCGAACCGTTTGGCGAGTTTCACCATTTGCTCGCCCCAGGAGCTGCGCTGGATGACGGCCGCTGTCAGTGGTACTTCCGCCTGTCACGCGCCCAGTTTGATGACATGTTGTCCCGCATCGGAGCGAGGATCACCCTCGCCCTCATCCACCTAATCTAGCTGTCATTTATTTTTGTTTTGATAATAAATAGAGCCAGCCTTCAAAAGTTATTAACCTGTCCTGTGATTTTTTTTTTTTTTTTTTTTTTTTTTTTTTTTTTTCTTTCTCTCTCTCACGTCCAGACACGAATTTATGCACATATGTTGATTGTCTTTACAACATAATACTATTTTATATAATCTAGCTATGGAATGAATAACATTCAATACAAAATGAACATGTCTCGTATATAGAAATAATGATTTAAGTGATAAAACATTAGCTTTGTTGTGCATAATCCCACTAGTCATATTAACAAAATAATTTATTGAAGCATCCAGACACTTTACCACGTGAGCAAGCAGCTAGGCTCCTGATTGGTTAACGCGGCGCGAATTCACGCCAAAGTTCAGATTTTTCAACTCGGGCGGCAGACGCGAATTCGCGCGTAACGCGTGAATGCACAAATGGCACATTCGCGCTTAACGCGGCAGACGCTCAATTCGCGCGAACGAGGCGTATTCGCGTCTTCCGCGCCGCGCTCCATGGCTCATTCACGCCGCAGGAATTTTTCACGTGCGTAAAGCGTCTTTGCATTGACTTAACATTGAAATCATTCGCGCCTGACGCCCTATTCGCGTCCGGTGTTAACGTAGCATTAGGCCATCAATGTGTACTTACATTTACGAGTCATTAAATCATGTTTAATTTGGAGTTCTCTGTGCATGCTCTTTGAGGTGGTGACCATAGACCTCCATTATATGACTGACAGACAAGAACGCTTTGACCTAAAAATATCAAAACTGAAACTACTGCGGAAACAAAGACCCCTACATCTTGGATGCCCTTGAGGTAAGATAAAACATACCAAAAATTCATTTCAAAGTGAACTATCCCTTTAAGTTGGCCCACATAAAATGAATAAAACAGTTCAATTGTGGAGAGAAAGCTGCTCAAAACATTGTGGCAAACAATTCATTCTCAACCAGTCTGCCACAAACCACCACTGCTTCAACAATGCCTTCATATTTTTGGCTTTCATATTTTTGGCAGAGTTGGTCATAGTGCTTTTTTCTATGTAATAAGTCTAAAATAACATGAACACACTCATCAATGCCTCAAGTTAAAACAAATTAGTATTAGCACTTGACTTGCAAGTATAGCAAATAATGGTTTGTGGCTGCGATCTAGATATATTTTAAAAAGCGTCTCTGCCAAAGTTTGTGATTCAATAGAAAATTTGTGAACACCGCAACTGTCAAGGGCTCTTTAAATTGCAATGAGCCTTATAATTTCAGAAATGTACAGTAGAGGCATAAGTAGGCAGTCTTTAGCATACAGTATTACCTTTGTAAAACTACAGTCTCTGCAGAAATTCATTATTCTTAATTAGCATTTCTGTAAACAGCATTAACCCCCATTTGCCATAGAGGAAAATCTCTGTGGTGCATTTCCACTAACAGTCGCAAACGCAGCATTTTGTTGCAGTTGTTTGTAGTTATTACTTCAGTTGTTCAGAGAGAGAGAGAGAGAGAGAGGAGGGGAAAATAGACTAGAACATTCCTAGACACTGCTTTGTCTTCACAAACCCACATCCAGACGCCTATTATTCACTATTATCTTTTAACAATGAAATTTACTGCTGTTTGAATTGTTTAATGCAGCCTGTAGGTAATATCCCATGATTCCCCAGTAGACAGCCACTTTAGTGAGCTATTTAACTCCCTTTCAACTGCCTTCACTTATCTATTCATTCATTTTACAATAACATACTCCAACTTTAACAGCCAACACCAACCGGTGTTTGGGTTTTATTTAGTCTTGTAGTGCTGATTTTTGCTTGTAATATTGTGCGCTTTACACTCAAGGTGTGGGTTTCCTTGTAAAAAGAAATCACTATTTGGGATCAAAGGGAAAAGCAACAAACAGGAAGACTATAGGACATAAACATTTCAAGGAATTGGCTGTTTTCTACTACGGAAATACTACAGAATATTTAAAGCGTTGTTTTTATAATCAAATCGATCAATTTTTTATTGTACTATTATTTAACCCCTTAAGTGGCACAGGCCCAAATCCATTACATTTTTAAAACAGTTATCCGATACTAAACCTAAACTAATCTTGACAAACTATATATCATTTGAAAGCTTAGAATGTCTAGTTTTCATAATTGGTGATTGATTTTCAAAATATATTACAGAGGAGCCGTAATTTATCAATTTGCAACAAGTTTGCAACCTGTGTTTAGACCTTTATTTTGAAATTGTGATCAACATGAAAAATCATGAAAGAAGGGTAGAAACCTGTTTGTTTTCATGCCAAGCGTTCAAAAGAAAGCCTCCATTCAATTATTTTACAATTATAATATTAATTATTTCATATGGAAATGGAGGCGCCCTTATATGGGCAGTAATGGAGTCTGGTTGTGAAAAAGTTTGGTACTGCGCCCAAACAAAATCTCACTGAAAGCTCATTTTTTGAGATGTCAACCTAAAATTTGAAACGCAACTTATTCAGATTTTTGCCTTTGATTTATTTTTTTTATTTTTTTTGCAGTTTTAGTGTCGCCCAGGTTTTGAAAATAAATATTTTATATAAAATATGAATAATTAAATTTTTTATATTGTACATTTTCATAAACTCAAACTTCTATAACTTTTTTTATGTTTCACATTCTTAACTTATTTCACTTCTACAACAATCTGCCAAATGTCTTCTTTAAAACGAGACCAATCTTACGTCTATATTCCAAAGCATTCTTGAATTACAACCATTTAAGTTCGAAATGCATTTTCATCTAAAAAAAGGGAGGGGGGGTTAAGTAGTTTTGTATATTAATAAAATGTACAAATTGAACAGATATTGAAGTCATTTCAACATGAACGTTTCATTTATTCAATAAGCCTACTTTTAATTACATCATGAAATAATTTCCTGTATTTAGCCTAAAATCTTGACGTTAAAATACTAGAATGAAGTTTTTATGATTCAAAATCTGCTATGGGTAATTAACGGTAACAAATCATTTACAAATGTATCATCTTTTATTGTAAAATTAGCTGACTTTAATAATTCGATAATTGTCTTAATTATTTAATTAACTGGAAGATAGTATTAAAATAACGTTTTATAAAAATCAACAAAACATAAGGGTTTAAACTGGGGCATGTTGTCACACTGCGTTACAATGTGCCCCTATTAGAAATATGCTATTATATTCTATACTTTTATGAATTCTATTGAGAAAACATGAGAAACATGTAAATAAAGACTGAGAGTCAATGTTCAGAAATGATTCATTATTATTTTGTTTTGAACTATGCTGTATAGCTGTGTTTTCTGGTGTGTTGTCAAAAATTTGTTTATTTTTAATTATAAAAAAAAATGCCATTATTCTATATAAAAAAATATTCAAGTCATACCAAAATATTTTTTCTTTTTTGACTAGATCAGATGTTACAATGTACCCCACCTAATGGGGCATGTTGTCACACTTCACATCCGTTCTTTCAGGGTAAATCAAGAAAAAAATATACACTGTATTAATAAAACAAAACCACATAATTGTACTAGACATGTGGGAAAAAATAAATACTGTAAACCCTAAGTAGATTTACACAAACATAGAAAGTCAAAAAGCATTACCCCGCTCTCCCCTAATAATTTTTTATCTCTTAACTGGCAACGTGCTTTCTAATTCGGTGAAGTGATTGATGCCCATCATGAGTGTGTCGACGGTTTTAGTTCTAATATTACAACCGACAGCCAGTTTTTGATTGACGTAATGACGTTATGCGTAAGGGCTGAACTATGTTTGATTTTTGGGTAATTATAAAACGTACTGGAGACGTTCGAAATGCTTTTAACGTAAGATTTTGTGACTTAGATTAATAACATGTTGACAAGCCAAACGTCAAATGTCAATCAAAGTAACATTAAGCTGTTTCAAATTTGTTGACTTTAGAAAATAAAAATGTTTTTATTTTTTTACCACTGGTTTTCATTGTCTCCTAAGACCAAAATGTTTTATTTAAACCCATCCTTTATTGATTTTGTATAAAGCTGTTGTATATTTCGGCAGAGTGTTGCAATGTTTCCATGACAGTCAATCGTTCATTGCCACGGTGCCGTAATCTATCCAAACGGCTCCATCCCGAAAAGGTTGAGAGTTATCGATCCAGGCCACGTGTCATATTTCAACTCCAAGAACGATGTTTTTAATTGACACGGATCTGCAGTTATGGATTATAGGCTAGTGGAGGTGCACACCTGGCTCATTCGTCTGCTCCTTTAATCCCTGCCTTCTTGTTGGCCTTAATCAGATTCAATGTTTTTAATGGAACATATGCAAATGATTCTGTTTTTATCTTATTTCCACTGATCAAATAGTCCACCGCAGCGATTGTGTTTCAAACACTCTCCTCAACCCCACCCCTAAAAACATCACTAATCATAAATGAAGTACTTTGACTACTTTACATAAAGCCAGTTAGGGAGGAGAGGGGCTAATCAAGAGTAGATCAAACGACTCGTCTTTAATTGAAGTGCAAAAACGGACCCTCTTTCTTTTTTTCGTTACCTAGGCTGATCCAGGCTTCTTCTCCGACTCCCGAAAGTCCACGCAGCCACGGACGACAGATGAAGCGCGGCGGTCGCTGTGGGAAATGTAGTCTGTTACTCGACGGCGTGACGGTACGTAACTAATTAGGTCAGTTCCTCTGGCGGCTGCAGGTGAGAGGTGCTTGCTCATGTTTGCTGTGTGTTGAACACCTCCGGGACAATGGAGCTTCAGAGCCGGAGGTTTTTATGGATTGCTGGGGTGAAATGAGTTTCAGGCTTTTAAAGAGCAAGGCCCGTGTGTACATTTTTTGTGTACAAGTTTGATTACCACAATCTCAATCAGCACTCAAAAAAATGATTTATTCTGCTTGTCGAAATTGCTTAAAGGGATAGTTCACTTTGAAATTAATTTTTGGTAGAGCCAGACCGATATATCGGCAGACCGATATTATCGGCCGATATTAGGCATTTTCTAAACTATCGGAATCGGCAGTTATAATGGCCGATAAATTAATATTTAAAAAATAAAATTAAAAACGGACGAAACACGCTTGAACCATGTCATGAGTGTTGGAGTTGTATAGTTTGTCCACCAGAGGGCACTCTACACCGTCCATGTTGGCAACACTCGTTGAGTTGGTCACGATACATACATTGCTTGAATAACAATTAAAAGAACATCCCCATCAGTTCTCTTAAATCAAATAAGCAGGACAAAATTTGTGACTAATCATCTCCAGTTTAAAAAATAAAAAAATTAATATAAAATATCGGCCGATATATCGGATTTTAAAACCCCAAAATATTTGTATCGGTATCGGCCTTCAAAATCCTTTATCGGTCGGGGTCTAGTTTGTGGTATGTTTTATCTTACCTCAAGAGCATCCAAGATGTAGACGTCTTTGTTTCCACAGTAGTTTGAATTTTCAAAGCGTTCGTGTCTGTCAGTCATATAATGGAGGTCTATGGTCACCACCTCAAAGAGCATGCACAGAGAAGTCCAAATTAAACATGATGTAACGACTCGTAAATGTAAGTACACATTGATGGCCTAAGACACGAAACGAGCGGTTTGTGTGAGAAAACAAACAGTATTTATATCGTTTTTACCTCTTGTTACCACAGCCACGTCCAAGTGATCTGTGGTAAAAACGATATAAATACTCGTTTCGCTCGTTTCGTGTCTTAGGCCATCAATGTGTACTTACATTTACGAGTCATTAAATTAAGTCAAGAAATCATTACGAGTCAAGAAATGATTTTTGATAAAAACATTCCAGGATTTTTCTCCATATAATGCACTTCAATGGGAACCAAACGGTTCAAGGTCCAAATGAGTTTCAGTGCAAACTCTAATCATGTGGAAAACCTTTCCATGATTTTATGTTCATTCAAAGAGTAAAGGAAAGATATCATAAAGATCAACACTACAGGTTAACCGATATGGTTTTACGATGTCTGATGTCAGTATTTTTATCTAGAGAAAGGGGTGTGTAATATAATATGGAAATAACTAACATTTAAAGATTTATTCTGCAAGGATGCATTCAATTCAGCAAAAGTGACAGTAAAGACTTTACACCGGGGATAGGAGAGTATCAAGCTTTCCACTAACATATCACACAGGACCATAATAAGAAATCCAAATCAGCATTTCAGAATGATTTCTGAAGGATCATGTGACACTGAAGACTGAATAGAAAATGTATTTTAATCGTAATAATATTTCACAACATTACTGTTTTTATTAAACATTTAGACTTCCTTCAAAAACAGCTCTGAAAAAAAAACTGAGGCAAACCAGGCAAATGTTTCCATCCTAATTTTATTAATCAAAGAAAAGAAAGAAAAACCTACCATGATGTCCATAGGGGTGTTTTTATTCATTGTGGCATGTGCAAGGCTGTGATAAATGTCTGTTGCCATTTCAAAACAAGATTCAACATCATCGATAGCTGCCGATTTGTGATTGCGTTACCTACAGAGTCGCTAGAAATGTTTAAAAATAGATTTGAAGAGGCAGCGTTTTATTTTCAATCGATAAGTGTCATTTTTCATCGTTGTATTTACAAGCATGCTCGCTCTGAATGTGCAGAAGGGTACTTCTCATCTCTTTTGTGTCACTAAAAACGTATCCACGTAATAACAACGTCAGGATAGCAAACGCTAAAGCATTTACAAGTCTTTATAAACGGGTAAAAACAGATGGGGGAGTACTGTAATACTGTGTTTATAGTAACATCAAATGAACACTTCTTTTTTTTTTTTTACTTTTTAAGTTGCAATAGAGAAAAACATTTTCGCGGGGCAAAGAAAGACGTACAAAGAATGTTGTTTCAAGATCACATAAGCATCCTTTTCAAATGCTGATTAAAATACAATGGAGATAATAAAATAAACACCAGAATAATAAACTTAAGGCAGGGAAACGACAACATGGGAAAAATATTTTTACACTTTCAAAAAAAAAAAAAAAAAAATACAACAAATTAGAAAGAAAATTGCTGATCTAGAATCCCTTTCTTAAAAGGCAAAACAACAACTGTAGACAATGTTTATTAAAGAAGCACACGTGTCTTATTTGGAGTCTGTCAGCTAATATTTGTCCCTTCATGTAGAGATGCGGTGTGTAAAGTTCTCTATAGACTCGTCAAGACTGTTGTGCTGTTCAGAATCATGGGGGATCAGCAGATAACACTCAATAATAATAATAATAATAATAAACTGGAGATAGGTTTCAGACGAGGGTGTTGTGTGCTTCACATAAGGAAAGGTAATTCATCAGGTAATGAGATTTTAATCCAGAAAAAAACTTGTTTTTAAATCTCTAAAAAGTGAGGGATGTAGAAGTAGTCAAAACAAGAGAGAAAGACATTTTTTTTTTACAATCGGTGTGTGTGTGGTGTTGAAAGGTCAGCAATAAGCAGGGCTCCAGAAACACACACTAGTCTCATGAGGACCCAAACGCACTGAACCTCCACACACACACACACATACATACATGTACATACACACTCAAGTCCTGTACAAGGGTTTCAGGTGACTGGTCACCCATACCACTTTTCCACCGGAAAAAAAGCCCCATGAACCCGCTCGTCCATCTCTGGCTGGAGACGTCTGGCGTGGTTGTGGGACTAAAGATGCTTCAGTACATGATGGGTGGCTTGGAGTAGGGTCTGTTTTCTGTAATGAAGGGGGGAAAAGCAGTGAATTACAGTGATTTGATATATATTTCAGTCATGATAACTTATGGCAATGCTAATGTCTAGATCTGCTATGCATGCTGGGAGTATGTAGTAGAGCCAGACCGATATATCGGCCGATATTAGGCATTTTCCAAAATATCGGTATCGGCAGTTATAATGGCCGATAAATTAATATATAAAAAATAAAATAAAAACGGACGAAACGCGCTTCAATCATCTCTCCTTGGCCTGTTATATTGAAAATGTATGTTTTACATAGATTTGATTTGCAGTATGATGTTATCTATTGCTAAATTATGGCTCATCATAGACTAGCTAACCACAAAGCTAGCTAATGCCACTATCATCAGTGGAAGACCGCTAACGTTAACATTAATGAGCTTGGAAACCACAACGAACTTTTTCTGCCTAAATAAAGTAATGATTACTGTATTTATAACTAGCATACCTCTAGTTACAGTCAAGTTATACTTGTGAGGAGTGAACATTTAGACATAGAAAAAAAAGTATTAAACGTATCTTGTGCAGAAAAGTTAGCTTTTCTTTTACACGTGTGTGAAATCCAACAATATTTAATAAAAAAAAAATAATAAATATCGGCCGATATATCGGAATATCGGATTTTAAAACCCAAAAATATTTGTATCGGCCTTCAAAATCCTTTATCGGTCGGGCTCTAGTATGTAGTGCTGCCATTAGATGCACAGACGTGCCTCTGTAAGCGATCTGGACGGGTGGAGAGGCATTTCCAGAGGGACTCTGACCCTAGCTTAGAGTGAAAACTGAATCAGAGTATTTAAATGTCGAGCAATCAATCTCATTGTAACAAAATAGCACTTTTTTTGACTTTGTTAATTTGTGTAAATCTACTCCCCCCCCCCCTCCCACATTAATTTCCCACATGTCTAGTACAATTATGTGCTTTTGCTTTATTAATTTAGTGTATATGTTTGTTTTGATTTACCCTGAAAGAATGGAAGTGAAATGTGACAACATGCCCCATAGGTGGGGTACATTGTAACATCACCATATAACAGCTTAAAATGCTATCTGATCTAATAAAAAAAATATACAAGTCAAACAAAAATATTTTCTTAATAAAATACAATTATTAACTTTTTCATATAAAATAATGGCATTTTTTTTATAATTAAAAATATACTCATTTTTGAGTTTGACAACAAATACACTGGAAAACACAGCTACAGTATACAGTTAGTTCAAAACTAAATAATAATGAATCATTTCTGAACATTGACTCTCAGTCTTTATTTACATGTTTCTCAATAGAATATAATAGCATACTTTTAATAGGGGCACATTGTAACGCAGTGTGACAACATGCCCCAACTGGGGTTTAAACCCTGCTAGCTAGCGAAGCACTAATATCAACTGTTAAACAACAGATTGGAGATTAAAATAATAATCAGATTTGTCTAATTTTAAATGAACACAAAAAATAGAGATCTAAAAAAAAATCTCTTTGCTATGGTTAAATAAATGTTCAGTGATATCTTACAAAGATTTCGCAATTTTGGCGCAATTTTTTTCTCTTTAAGAAAAGAGAAAAAATTGCGGCAAAAAATGACAACTAGTAAATACACCAAGTTTCGGCATGCTAGCATGTGTGTAAGTATTTAAAACAAGTGTGTTACAACTACGTTGTGACCCTGCCCTCCCCTATACCTGTGCCATTAATCAACCTGTGATTTTAGCTCAACTGTGTTCAAATTAATATTCCACCACCCCCAAGAGAATCAAAAAAATCATAATTAAAGGAACAAAGACAGTGTCTTTCAACAGCAAAATGTAGCAGGTTTTCTGAACGAATGATGTTAGCGGTGGCCGTAAAGCGCTGGATCGGAGAGAAACAGCTGGTGGTTGAGGGGCAGGAGTGCTGCAGATGCATGTTAATCGAAGAGCTCG